GCACTCTGTAGGGCCACTTCCTCAGTCCGTCACGACGGACAAGGACCACTCGTGCACCGATTCCTTGTCACATCTCGAAGGCGCATTTGCGATGGTAAACAAGTTTCGCTCTGTGACACAGACAAACAGGCGTTTGTTATGCACCGCTCGACACCATGGAAAGCTATGCACAGTTGAGAAGACGGCTCGCAGTGCTGGTCTGAGACGAAAACTTATTTCGCAAAATACCGTCAATCACAGATGATGGCCAAAGCTATTCGTGCCAATAAGTAAAATGATCGTAGCATCAGTTAGAATTGAAGCAGTCATGAAAGTACCACTTCTGATGGCTGAAATGGAGCATGGCAAAGAAGCTAGAAGATGGTGAGTACTCCACAGAAATTTTCAATGAAAAAGAAACAACGCAGTTTGCAACTTAAGAGTACAGATGAGTTATTGAAATTGATATTCATTCATTTATGGTAGCATGGAAAATGTGCCTTTAGAGGAATTTATAAATGACCTCATCCAGATGCTGAATGGGTAAGCATTATAGTCTGAATTCAATATTGATTCAATGTCATGCATCCTGTATAATAAAGTCTTCTCGTCCACGGGAGAGTTCGCCCTACGTTAGATTCTACATTTTGATTGCCCTATTCCAACGCAATGAAAACTCTGCTAGCTACTATGTCAACGTTGTTATATAAGGCCTTCAAATCCAGTAAGTCCATGAACAAGTTACCCGTTATTTATCCGGAAGTATAACTTCCGTCTTCTATATACTCCTAATGTTATGTTTATGACCAATCGCTGTTTTTGATTATAATTAAAGAGAAGACATTAGTAGATTGGAGAATAGGCCCGTAGTATCCTGTTTAAGAAGGGTGATCATATGGCGCTCCAATACACAGGGCATTATCTTACTGAGCCTCTAGAAAATAGTCGACGCAAAGGTGCTTACAAGGAGGTTCCACGGAATGGAACTGTTCTCCACAAAGATTGCATTCGGTCTCCTCTCATGTTTGCATCGCACATATATAAGGTAGTCGGGTACAGCCAGGGAGACGAGTGTATGACAAAAGGAAAATAGGGACGAGAAGCATTCTGTTTACAGACTACCTTCTTCTTGGGATTTTCTGAAACTGATCTCCAGCGTACTCTGGAAAGGTTTATAGTCGAGTGAGATGTGGCCGGCATGCATATGAACCTGTCTAAGTCTGAAAATCAAATGTCTCTCTGCTGTCTACTCGTCGAGCTGTGAAGGTTGACGGACTTTTACGAAACAGATGAAAAGGTTCTTTTACCTCGGGATCGTGTTTACTGGTGATGGAAAACGTGAGAAAAAATCGACCGCCGCATGGGCACTGCCAACGGCATTGACCCAAATCACCCAGTACCTCTGTGACCAAGAGAGACCTGAGCCTGAAGAAGAATCTGTCTGTATTCAAGTCGATTTTCATTCCATGCTTAGCCATGGTCATGAGCGTAGAACTTCGATTCCATGTACAAGTTGCTGAAATGGGCTTTTTGAGGCGAATTGCTGGACCTACGCGTCTGGGCGGAGTCTGAAGCTAAGGCATAAGAGTAAGTCTAGGTACGCAACCTCTGCCTCACAATTGCCATGGTATTGGAATGCGTCATAGCAACGTTTCCAGAAAGGAAGGCAGAACGGCTGCTACCCACGCAGTCGACCGGTCAAAGATTCTGGTTACGATCAACAATGATCTGGGACAGCTGTCTCGACTGACTTGCACCAGACTCAGGTTGTTTTCTACCGAAACTCAGTCACTGGCACAGATCAAGAACGTTTGCAGCACTGTTTCCCTCGTCTTCCTCTGTGTCCTGTGTTCCGTACAGTTTGAGCGATCACTGAAACTGACAGACTGACCGTAATGATAAAATAACGTTGTCTGTTCGAAATATGGACAGCTGAAATAAGGATATTCAATTTCTACTTTGATTTGTGACTATGACCATTGAATCGACATCATTTTTATCGACAGAAGATATAAATCATTTCGGTCTGTGCGATTCTTTCCAAAATTCTTTCTCTAATTTTGAGAAGCAGTAGTGCAAGGGATTGTGGCTTCACTGTGCATTTGAAAAGTGTCAGTTCGAGTTCCGTTACTCAAAAAATTTTTCTTAGTAACAGCTAAGTTTTCAGAGCAAGGAATTTAATCGGTCGATTCTGCTTCGTTGTAACCAGTTCAGAAAGAAGCAGTAAGAAGCTGAAAATAGGATGGACAGCAAGGCAGCAAAAAAATCATGTGTACTTATCCAGAGCTATACCTATGAACATGCTGTCGATGAGTGCGCTTTAAGTTCAAAATTTGCTTTGACCTCGTGATAAATTTGCATTAAATCCAAACAGCCAATTAATAACTGTTTTTTGCAAACATTTACGGACGACCGTTCAGATGGGAATTATTTGATGTTTACTACCAGACTTGCTTGCGATGTCCCTTTATTTCGAATTGGGAAGCAATACAACCAAATTTTTATTGCGATTCGTTTAGGAATCGCATCCAATTGGGTTTCTGGACTGCATCTTCCAAAAGGTAAGTGCAAATTTTGAGCAAAGGTTGAAAACGGAACTTGTCTTGAAAGGTAAGACGTTACTTTATGCGTCCGTTCCATAAACGCTATAAATTTTTCTCATAATGACGAAGTGAGACACCACTCCTGATGTGTACAATCCCTGCTAAAGCACCGTGGATAGAAGCCTCTGTTGGTGGCCCTGTTATATTGTCAGAGACGGAGGGCAGTTCGGCGAGTCTGGCGATCGAGTTGCACTGAGGTTGAAATCTTCTCATTTGACGCTGAGCAACCGCCACCGACTCCTCGCGCAGAAAACCACACCACACCTTACTGACATTTACCTTGTGCATCTTCCACGCTGCTGCTCTATGTATCAACACTGACAGAATGCACGGGTGTTAGACCAGTGCTCTTGTGCGCGACGGGGTAGTTGACGACTAGAGATCTGACATGACACTTTTAACTGAAGCTGCGAGATCGGAATCGTGGAGAACCTCAGATCATCTTAAGCGCACTACAAATGATCGAAGTTAACGAAGCAGCAGAATTTATCTGTAGTTACGTTAGTCCTGCTATCCGCATGAACATTCATGGCTGGTTCTGTATCTATGTATTTTGCAAAGGAGTGTTTATCCGAGACATCTCTGAATGACAGAAGGGACTAGGAGCAGAGGATCACTTGCATATCCCAAATCCGTGAGAATACAAGCTCCAACCTGCATATTTCAAAGCCATGGACATGTATTCGTAGAGTAGGACCACGTCCGATAGAAATGCGAGTGGGTCACTTTGCATCCTGGTCTATCTTTCGTCCACATGGGGAACCGATCTGAGAGAACTCAGAACTTTTTTGGCGAACGATTGAATGGGGCACAGGACGTCGTTGCCCGTCGAATTGTTGACCCAAGGTCAGCGTTGGCCTCCAGAGATTACGTGTTGCAGACGATCGAATTCCCTGAGTATCTGGACGGTAACCTTGATACCAAGATTTTGTGCATATTTGCACAATCGACTGTGAAGCCGGACGGCTAAAGGTTGAAGGACTAAGTATCATCATCAGGTCATGCACGAAAGCCTAGCTTCCTGTGATTTACCAGAAAACAGCGATAACGACCATTTTCAACTTGGTATACGGTAGATTCCTTATAACTGCAGCAATAACCGGTCGAGTTCTACATAGATGGACAGGATGGCCTGTAGCAGTGGTTCCTTTTGGACTGACCAATCGGTGGTTTCAAAGTTTGTGAATGATCCCTGTGTCTCCGGATAACATAATGGACGACGACGTGTCGGTTTCTGGGCATCGGTTCGAGATAGCGCTTCCTGCCATATCTTAGCATTGCGCGTTAGCGAGGAACCCAAAACATAGTAGCAGTGCCGAGACATCGAAATCGACATGTTGGTCTGAGGTTGCTCCACCTCATGACTTC